TTAGGGCTGTTGTACATAGGGTCACTATGAGTTGCAGGTGACTCGACAGCACATAACAACAACAACAACAACAAATATGTCTATCGTAGGAAAGGATATGCAATCTCGTCTTGTGCAATTTACAAACTCTAAAAACTCACTGCAGGGTAAGCTAGGGGTTGGTTCTGACTTGGTGGTACATAATACCTACAACAATATACATATAACACATTAACTTTATACTATTTTCTTCGAGATTAATAATGTGTCCTGTAACTTAAAAGAATAAAGCATAATGCATAGGTAATTTAAGGGAGCTCTGGCTGCTGACAAAGGAAGCCCAAGGGCCCCACCTCCTGTAGAGATTCTTGGTCTATTACCTTGCTCTTCATCAACAGACTCAGGTACCATCTTCCCCAAAGCCAGCCGACACCAATTCAGTGATATATATCACAAGAGAGAAATGTGCCCTACAGGCTTGAAGGGCAGATGTTTGAAAGCAGATCATCCAGCCTTTCTTCCAAGACACCGTGAGTGGACTCCGCAAATGAGCCTTTTGATTAGTACCTGAGCACTTAACAATCTTCAACACCCAGGGGCATCAAAACCACCTGATCCATGGGCTTAGAATGGAACATGTGGAGCTGCTTTCTATGAATCACATTCCCAAGATGGGACACATGCAGGCATAGATATGACAAGACAAGCTTTTAAAAATATATTTTCAAATTAGAAAAAACAATCCTCAGGGCAGCAAAGAGCTCCCCATAGAAAAATCTACGTGGGAAAATTAACTCTGAAGCAAATGTGCTCATTCACAGTTGACGTTTCTATGAGCATCAGAACAGAGGTGTCATGTCCTCAGGGAGGGTGTGCTGGCACCAGCTGGGCATGAGGGAGAGTCTGGACAAATCACCCACTGGATGATGTGCTCACTGCGCAGTGACTACATGTTTTTCTGACCATTTCCAGTTACAATGACACCTTGAGTCAGTTATGAAGTGGGATATAAGAGGTGTTTCCTTCTTCCCTGACAATACAGTAGCTGGATGGCAAAGTCCACTCATCCCTTTCATCCCAACTGGGACGCATCCAAGTCTCACAGCAAAAGTTATGGCTGAAGGCTCAGCATTTAGAGGCCTCTGCTGGCATCTCTCTTGTATCATCTACAATATACTATCTACCTTACAGCTTATATTACTATCAGGATAATGAGTCCAGCATCTTTATTGCCTAGAAAATGAAGAGGAAATAAGTGAATGCCCACCTTAATTGTGCCTTTGAAACTGTAAAGGTGAGTGCCTGCCTATAGTGTTTAGAATTAAAGAATAAGCTCACATTCAATAGGTTCAGACCCTTCACAAACCCTGACCACTAGGTCCTTAAGCATTTAGAAGCACTGCATTAAAGACTTTCTATAAATCTACCTCTAAACTCCAAGTACGAAGCTATTCATAATGAATCACCCAGTGAAGCAATAAACCCAGAAGTGAACCAAAAAGCTATAATGAGAATTAAGTTCTAATTTAATTGGTAAATCATGCACTACTCAGTAATGTGAAAGAGATCACAGTGGGAAGTGGAGGGCTGGGGAGCTGGATCAGATCTTGACAGCTGAGAATACAAAATACTTTATCCAAGAGAGATCAAGAAAGTATGAATTTACAGAATACAACAAAGGCCCAACATACTTCCAATGCAGTTCCATTATTCCTTTTAAAAGTACCGTGTCCTAAAATGGCTATAAATTAAGTCATTACTTTAAAACACTTTGTAGAATGTAAAATAAAAAGTATTTATCTGTATTAAGGAAGCTCTGGTGGCAGAGTCCCTGGTTTTCTGTGCTGCAAAGGTGGAAGCTCTGTAGGTTCAAATCCACCAGCTACTCCGTAAGAGAAAGATGTGCCATCTCCTCCTTTTTTCCTTAAAAAGCACTGGAGTTTCAGCAATGAGTAGGTTCCAATTTGGAGGCATTGATTAGAGTTTTTTAATTCTTTTTGGATTGTTGCTAGTGTCAGTAATGCACCGATGTATTGCAGCTCTGTAAAGTATCCTGAGTAAAGCATCCTCTGTAAAGCTCTGAGTATCCTGACAGCCCACACCCAAACTTGTAAAGCCAAAGGGAAGACAGGTTGCCAAGGAGCAGGAGACACTTTCTAACGTTGTCCTGGAGGGCACCCAACTGGCCTCAACCAGTGGACACCTGGAGGCCAAGGAAGAGTGTCCAGCTCCATGGGGCCAGCTTCCAGCATATGGAATGTCTCCCCCAAAAGAGGCTGGTTAATGCAAGTCTCTTAGCCTAGGCTATCATATATAAACCTTAGGAAATCTCGCTTAGCTAAATATACTTCTCTGTCAGCTTTTTAATCCAAAGAAGGAGAAAACTGGCCCCTGAGGACATATTTCTACCTTATATCACCTGTTAGTTACCAAAATATTTATTGAAGAAGGCTGTTCATGAAACCTCTACAGGAAAAACTAGTTTTCACTAACAAATGAAAGTAGTACTTTTTTTTTTCACTGAAGAAAATTCTAAATATAGTAGATGGATTCAAGACAACAATTCAAGTCACTGTCATCACAAAAGCTAAAGAGATACCCATTTTACATATATATTTAAGATTTTATCTTGTGGTGGTGTGGGCCCCAGCAGGTGTGCTGTAAACTGAATGGTATACATCTCTAGCAGGTCAATCCACCAGCTGCCTGTGGAAGAAAGATGGGCATTCTTCTTCCATATAATTACAGCCTCTGAAAATCTGCCTGACGGTTTTTATACACACACGGAGTACATATGTAGGTACACATTATATACACATATGTGCATACTTCATAAGCTCTGGTGGCCTACTAGTAGGAAATTGTGCTGCTATCCTGAAGGCACATGGTTCAAATCCAAAAGTTGACAGGAGAAAGATGGGCAAACTCATACCATGTGATTTGCTGCCTCTGAAAATCCATTGTAGGGCCAGCTATGGGTCAGTTCCAACTCGATGGTACCTCTCTCTCACTCACACACACATACACACACACACACACACACACACACACACACACGTGTGTATATATTATATGCACACACAAGTAATGGTTAAGGTTGAGTAATGGTTGCCCATGACTCTCTGGTCGGCAGTTAGGATGCACTCATCTCTATGAGCTCTAATAAAATGTAATCTCTTCCATGATCAGCGTTCCTATGAATGAGCAACCATTTTAAAGGTTATTTCCTCAGAGGTGAGTCCTGAATTCAATATATATGGACATTCTTAGAAAGCTCTCTCCTGCTCTGCTCCATCTAAATCCTGTATCTAGTGCATCACCCTCCAATCTTCAGTCCTCTGGACTTGAGCCAGCAGTCAGTTATACCATTTGCCACTCACAGACCTGTCAACCTCCACAAACAGCAGCCTGCCATATGATCTGCTGATCTTGGGTCCCTGATCAGCTGCAGCTACACAGGTGAGGAGAGGCCTCAGCTTGATATCTGACTCGTGGTCTCAGGACTTGCCAGCCCCTTCTACCCTGAGACCTGCGAGACTCTAAGCCTGAAAATAATTTCCTTGAGATTTTTCAGTCTCATTACGTTTCTGTTCTCTCTCACTCTATTTCTCTCTCTTTTCATTCCTAGCTCTTTCTCTGTATCTCTATCAAGAAATAGCTTTTTCTCTCCATGCCTCATATGGTGGGATCCAGGCACTCATCTCACTACCTAATTTCCACAACACTCTATCTTTAATGAGTCACTCCTCAGACCAATTCACAAAAAAGGAGTTGCTGCTTCTTAACCAGTGGCTACATCTCCCTGGATCTGATGTATCTCACTTAACACAGGAAGCAAAATATCATTGGAGAAAGCACTTATTTCTCATTGCAAGTCACTGCTTTTATTTTCTTAAAGTCAACTGTAAGAGAATAAACACATTTGAATTATATCTTGTCTTCATTTTGCATAATGGAATAACCACAAACAAAGCCTTAAGACACTTCCTTTCAAAAACAGGGGCTTTTCCTATGCAAACATACAAATACAGTACTTGTTACACAATTTCTGATTATGTTAACACAAAAGCAAGGCATACTTTTAAAGTAAGAGGCTGTCTCAATACAGGAAATGAAAATAAAAGGTGTACCTGATAAAAGTTTGGCCAAAAAGTACTAATTGCCAGCTCGGCCCTGTGCCATGTGCGTGTCGGGTCTCCAGTGACATTCCAGATGGGATTTCCCAAAGGCCCATTATTGACCTTGACGTAGACATTGAGTAATCCAGGAGCAGAAGTACTTTTGCTGGACACAAAATAATGAAAATCGATGCAGTGGGTGTCATTTTCTTTCAACTGAGGTAGAAAGAGATGAGCCTTCTGTCCCTCAGGTCTACCAGATGTGTTCACCAGCATGAAAGAGCCTGTGGATATAAAGCAAGAGAGAGTGAGAACTGAAAACATCACTTTCTGCAGAGCCTGAAAAGCTACCTTCATTTACAGGTGTGGGGACAGCTATCACACATACAGGAAGCACTTAAGCGTTACAAGTCCCACTCCTTCTCCTCTCTGTCATACATTCTGTACATCTCTATCTCCAAAATAAAAAATGTCCTCAAACGCTCCAGAGGCTGGAAATTTGTCAAGATGTTTCTATAATTAGTCTCCTAAATCACAGAAATACAGCGATGTTCTTTGGTCTGTGCTGTGGAGGCCAGCAGCTATTTTAAGCAGATCTAGCAAGTAGACTCTACCCATAGTGTTCCAAGGTGTGACAGAGCAGAACTGTGCACTTAAGTCTTTTTTAGCTCACTTTTGTGAAGTAGTCTAGTACATCTTTCTTCTGAGAAGTATCTGTATGCACCTGAACCTACATGTTTCTTTTAGTAACTGATTGTTTAACCATTTGTGTCTCCTAAGAACTCCAAATAACAGACACATCTAGACTGTAACTGTCCAGTCTGGTAACCACTTCTATAAAGATGGAGATCATCTGCATCAGCTAATTGATTCTACGGAGTTGCTGTTGTTATTGTTGTTAAGTGACAGTGAATCAAATACCGCTCACAGTGACCCAATGAACAAAAGACATGAACTCTGTTCTATTCTGTTCCATGCTCACTATGTGACACACTCTAACCCACTTCTCTATTCACTATGTCAATCCACCTGGTTGAGGGATTTCCTCTCCTTCATCACCCCTCCAACTTCCCCAAGTATCATGTCCATTTCCAATGAATAGCCTCTCCTAGAAACTTGTCCAAAGCATGTGAGATGAAGCTTCATTATCTTTATCTCCAAGGGGCACTCTGGCTGCACCTTCTCCAAAACTTAAGTTTATTCTTATGACAGGGTATTCAGTACTCCAACACCACAACTCAATTCTTCTGGCATCAATTCTTCTCCTTTCATCCTTTCTCACTATCCAGCTCTCAGATGCATAGCAAGTGATTGGAAACCCCATTATCTGAATCAAGAATACCTTTGTCTTCAAACTAACATCACCGCTCCTAAATAATTTGCAGAAGCCCCTTATTGCAAACTCTCCCAGTAAAATATGTCTCCTGATCTCTTGACTACTGGTCACAAGTATACTGACTTTGGATCCAAGTAAAATGAAGTTGCTGACATATCCAATCTTTTCTGTGTCTACCATGATGTTGCCTATTGGTCCACAATGGGTGCATTTCAAAGATGAAATGAAAGAATCCAACTAGCTTTCTTTAAACCAGTAATGAATGTGACAGAATGATGTGGGCTAAGGGATGGCAGGTGTTTGAAGGAGACTAGCTCTGATGGCTCAGGCACCCAAGAAGTAGTATTATAACAGAGAGAGCTTTGATGGCCAAGTGGCAAGGAGCTGTACTACCAACTAAACAGGTGAAAGTTTCAGTCCCCCAGCTGTTCCACAGGAGAAAGGTGGGAAACCTCTTCCTGTACAATTTACTGCCACCAAAAATCCACAGTGCTGGTCTGACTCAATGGGACCTAACAACAACAACAACATAATATTATGTCACCACCAATTAGGGCCATCACTCTCAAGGGGGTATGTGGATATTTTGGTAAATATCCACATGTATTCACACACATGCAACACAATATGCGAAAGTTCATGGAGTTCTTATTGTGTCAAAACCCACAATTTCCTAAGTTCTAAAACAAGAACCTTTCCCAAAGAGTTACCTTAAGAACCAAATGAAAAATATAAATATGGGTACCATTTGCAAACTAATGAGATTTTTATTAGGGGATAGACATTACATGTTTAAGTATGGTTGCTACCACAAGTACCATGTACAATAAGCTGGGTTAAATGCTATTTACAAAAAATAGGAATTGGGTCATGCAGACACGAAAAAGCATTTATCTGGGCTTTTGAATGAATTAGTGGTAAACCCAGAACTTTTAGCCTCTGAGTTTCCAGTCCATTACTCATTCTGCCACACTCCAATAAGCCCCTGCTTTATATGTCATTTGAGCATATTGGAAGGAAACTCACCCCTTCATGGAGCAGTGAGGGAAAATCACAGTAGTTATGTGAAAACAGCGGCCTCTCAGGAGGTAAGTATTATGCACCTGTACAAAGAAGAGGAGCACTGGTGTTGCCCTACTAACCAAGGTGTCAAGGTTTAAATCCACCAGGTTATGCACAGGATACAAGATTTCCAGCTCTGCAAGAAAGAGGATGCACAGGAGCTACAGCAGTCAGGACAGAGTCAAAGGCAGTGGATTAGTTTTTGTTTGAGGTCCCAAAGGTGCTGTCACAGTGCAGCATGTTCCACATGGCTCACCTGATCTCAGTAACTTGAAATCACAAGAAAGAAAAAAAAAAGGCAGTTATCTTCCCTTAAGGACTGTCATTGTTAGGTGCTGTCAAGTTGCCTGCAATTCATAGTAACCCTATGCACAACAGCTCTGAAGCTTGCCCTGTCCTGAACCAGGTGCACTGACTCCAACATACCTACTCCCAGTGCCCTAGTGACTGTATTAATCCATCTCATTCGGGGTCTTCCTCTCTTGCACTGTCCTTCCACTCTTCCAAGCATGATGTCATTCTCCAAGGACCAGACCCTCCTGGCCACATGCCCAAAGTACATGAGACAGAGCTTTAAAATGCTGGCCGCCAAGGAGAAAATTGGTTTTACCCTAAGACAGAACAATTTGTTTTCTTGGCAAGTACTACAACTCAAAAGGGATCAATTCTTCTTCTATCCTCTTTAGTAATTATCCAGTTCTGATGCAAAGAAAGTAATTGCATAGACCATGGACTGGATCAGGTGCTCCTTAGTATCTAGATGGAGAGCATTGCTTCTCAGTACTCTGGAAAGGTCCTTGACAGCAGATTTACCTAATGCAGTTTGCCTTTTGATTTCCTGACTGCTGGTGCCAAAAGTGTTGACTGTGGAGCTAAGAAAGCTGTAACTATAAACAACCTCAATCTGTTCTACATAGATCCTAGTGCTGCCAATTGGCCCACTGTTGAGAATCTTTGAGTTTCAATCCATATTGAAGACTACAATCCTTGACCATCTGCAGTAAATACTTTAGATCTTCCTCAGTTTCAGCAAGTGAGGTTGTGTTATCTGCATAACATAGGTTGTTGATGAGTCTTCCTCCAATCCTGATATTACATTCTCTTAATAAAGCCCAGACTCTAGAACGATCTGTTCACCATATACACTGAAAAGGTATGGAGACAGGACACATTCCTGATGTACTCCATTCATGATTTAGAATCATGCAGTTATTCCTTGCACTGTTCTAAGGACTGCTTTGTGGTCCAAGTATAGGTTTTCTGAGATTCCCATTTTCCTCAAGATCAACCACAATTTGTTGTGGACTACACAGTCAAATGCACAGTCAACAAAACACAGGTAGGTATCCCTCTTGTACTCTTTGCTTTCTACCAACATGCGTCTGACAATGTAGATAACATCTATAATGCCACAACCTATCCTAAGTGCAGCTTGTATTTCTGGTCATTCTCTGTAAATGTACTGTTCAGTCTTTTCTGGATAATCTTCAGCAGAATTTTGCTTAGGTGCGATAGGAATTATATTGTACAATAATTTCCACACACTGTCGGGTAATCTATTTTTGGAATAGGAATAAATATGGATCTCTTCCAGTCCGTGGCCTCCAGATTTCTTGCCACAACCTGATGAGCCTGTCCAGGGAAGCATCTCTTTGTTGAAATATGTCAAATGGTATTATATAAATTCCTGGGACTTTATTTTTGGCCATGTCCCTCAGAGCAGCCTACTTACGTCCTCCTTCCTCACTACTGCACCTTTATCATATGCTGTTTCTTGAAATTCTTCTGTGTCACCCAACTCTTTTTGGTTCAGTGATTTTGTTTACTCCTTCTATCTTCTTTCTACCCATGGCATCCTTAAGTACTGCAACTTGAGGTTTGAATTTGTTCTTTAGTTCCTTTAGCTTAAGAAATGCTGAGCGAGTACGGTCCTTTTTATTTTCATATTCCAGTTCTTTGCCTATTTCTTTCTAATACTTACAGCCTCAGAAACCTGAAGGACGGTCACTGTGAGCCACAGGAAACTTTATAGTAATGAATTTGGGTTCATATAACACAGCCAAACCATAAGTAAGTGATACCTGTACATTTGAATCACAGAATGAATTTAAAAATATTAACACACAGTGAAGGGCAACAAAAGGGAATATGTGACAATAGTTGTGTTAGCTTAATTCTACAAAACACAAAAAGTTCTTTGAAAGTAGAGAGTAAGTGAATCTACAACAAATCTAAACAAAGAAACAAGTATTTGTGAGTTGGAAATCATACTTTTTCTGCATCTAATAAAATGTAGGCTTTTTTCTCCACATTCCATCATTCAGGACACTATTTTATGGAACACTAGCATAAAGGACACCAGTAAGGTAGTCTCACTGATGGGACTGAGGCATGTCACCACCATAAAGTCACTGCTGAATCAGCAAAATCCTTCAGTTAAGCTGCCAAGAACACTGTGTTTTGTGCTATTTCCACATAAAATGGCAAAATATTTATTACTTATACTTTTCTGATGTATTATTTACAGTCTTGTTATTTGTTATTGTTAGGCTTTGAAGAGTGGAATACAACTCATAACTATCTCAGAAACACAGATCTGAATCCTGTTCTATTCTGTGCCATCCTCATCATCCCTGACACACTTGATGTGTCAATCCATCTTTTCTATCACGGACCTTTCAGAGCAAGATGCCTCTCTCTCCAAGAAATAGCCTCTCCTAGCAATAAACTCAAATATTTGAACCAAACCTTTGTCATCTGCCTCTAAGTAGTACTCTGGCTGTACTTTCTCCAGATACACCTGTTTGTTCTTTTTGGCAGTTCAGCAGATATTGAGTACTCTTTTCCAATACTACAACTTAAAGTATCAATTATTTTTCTATCATT